CATTAACACCTCTAGTAATATATTTACTGAGAAAAATGTTGACGTGTTCAATACTTATTTTACCCGCTGTACGTTTAATCACAATCCAGCAAAAAAAAAAAAACTTTAATAAAAATCCAGTTATTAGAAGAAAACAGAGAAGACAGCACAGTGACAAAAAGAGAAACTAATTTACATTTAAAATATTACTTTTGGGGCCGGATAAAATGTGAACGACGGATAGATTTGGCCTGCGGACATTGAGTTTGACACATGATTAACAACATGCAAATAATGCAGGTGGAGCTACAAGTCCTCATTAATGTCAGTAATTTAGGAGTAAAAGTCACTCGTGTTCAGATTTAGCAGGCATTATTTTGCCTGTATTTTGCTTTGAAATAAAGACCACTTATAAACAACAAATGTCACTGGACACACGGCCGCGAGGTCTCTGCCAGCGGCTGAAAGAGTGTGACTAACCCTCATTATGAAATCAAGCTGACAATAAAAGACAATCTTTCCCCTCCACAGCAATACCCACTAAACACAAACATTAAGAGCAGCTGATTGGATAAGACCGTGACTAATACCTCTGATTTGAAGGCTGCTTTCCAAAGGGAGGTGGGCAGAGGCAGAAGGGTTTTAATAAAAACACTTTTTTTTGTATTCAGCCTTTTCTCCTTTTCCAAATGATACCCATTCACTGTTTATGTTATTAGATATATCAGCAGGAAACATCCTGCTGAGCAAACGTAAAGGTCTTAGCCTGAAATGTTAGTATAGTGTGTGTGGGGGGGGGACCCTCATATGCATTTTCACCTTTACTCCATACTTTTAATATTTAAGTACATTTTAAATCAGAAATTTGCTTTTAATACAGCATTAACTGTCAGATATTTTAAGACTTTTACTTGAGGAATATTCTCAGAGAAGACTTTAACGATAATGGTAATATACTTGTACTTTCACTAAAGTATCACTTTCAGGTACTTTGTTCAAGCCTGTGTTTAGGACTTTATTTTCTCGCCACGGGGGAATGAGATGGACCACCTTAAACTGAGTAAAAAAATAAACCATCAACCTGACAACCATAACATTATCATTACTATTTAATAATTGTCACGCTACCAAAAAGTGACAGCAGGTAATAATGCTATGTGTCTGTTTGTTAGCAAAATATCTCATGAATCAGTGGATTAATTGAACTGAAATTTGAAAATAATAATTGGATGAAGATCTACAGAACAACTTATGGAGCTAGCCCATTTCAAGACAATCACCACAGCTAATCAACATAAGCCAACGTTAAAATAGCTGCAACTCAGTCAGTCTTACAGATGTTGAGCTGAAACTTGATGTGGCAGCAGCCAATCGTTATCAGCACAGACGCTGAGGACAACATCTGCATATCAAGGCTGGACCAAAACAGCTCCAACTCTGTAGTTTTTCTGCATAAGATAATCTTAATTTAAAATTCTGGCATAAAAAGCAGCAAGTTAAATTTATTCCTTCAAATAATAGGTTTTTACTCATTTTGACTCTTTTTAAAACATGTTTTCCCATGCTTTTTGACATAAAGAGCCCATGACTGATTAGCTTTGTTTGAGCAGCTTGTGTAAAGCACGTCACTTTTTACAGCTGGTCTTATCTTGTTTTTGTTTTTTTCAGATGGAGAAAATTACAAATTGTTTTCATAATCCATTCGTCACTGTTAGTGATCACTATTCATGTGGTGCATTTATTCCTCATCCAAATATCTTCACTGAAAGGCGATCCGGTTTAATTCTGCTTCATTGTTAAACGTGACATCAGATAAGGTTTGTAAACTGGTTCTTTTTCAGACCGCTATAAATCCTGACACAATGGTGCCTGTGACAGTAAAAAATAGTGGGATTGTTTTTGGTTCCTGAGTTATTTTCAGTATGCAGTTAGAGTTTAGGAGAAAAGTAAAATCTCTGCCAAGTTTAGTGCTGAGTTTTATCCCTTTACTTCTTTATGTCAGTAAAATCTGTTTTATATAACAGTGT